GTCCTGGCCCCTCCATCCCCATCCCGCTCCCCACCGCTGCCACCAGGGCTATTTTCATCCATCGAGTTTCCATATGGTGATGTGGAAAACCATGCATGCCAGGCCTCGGAGAGCCCATGCCACTGCTCTGGCTAAGTGGATCACTGCACCAGAGTGGGACTCGCTGCTAATTACACAATCAAAAGTGATTAGCAGGCTGCTGGGCCACGGTGTGAAGGGCACGCTCCTCTCCTCTGGCTCTGCCACTGGCTGCACCACTTGACTCTCATGCCATGATGCTCCCAGTGGTTTTAACACACAGCAGAGACATCATGGATATGGTCCGTCTGTCCATCTGGCATCAGGCCCTGGGTGCAGCCGTGCCCGTGCCACTGGTGATGTCCCCTCTGGGCTGTGCCCGCAGTGGGGATGCCGGCACCTTTGACCCTCTCCAGCAACCCACGGTGCCAAGCCCAATCTATGTGTTTGCTCGATTACCACACTGCGTTTGGGGCTCATCGACTCTCTGCGGTGAGCAGTAATAACACAGATTACTGCGCTCGTTTGTCATCGTTACCCTAATGAGCCCAGAGCTGGATGGATTTAACGTAAATCAAATCAAGAGGGGATAAATTCCTCTGTTCTCATCATCGGGAGGCAGTGGGTGATCCCAGCATGGGGACAGGGCTAGGGACCCCAGGAACCCCCGGCTGAGCCCCATGCTCCATCCCTGCTGTCCTGCAGCCAGGGATGGTGCCACCATGGCAGAGGCTCCAGCTCTACCTGGTGCCACAGCACATGGGAGCCATCAGGGACTTCGATTTTTGTCCCACTATAAATCGCCTTTTGGCAGATCACCGCTCATCCCAGCACGGGCTGTGCCGCAGTGTGGCGTGTTGGGAGGCACGAGACATCGCCATGCTGGAGAGAGGCCACTGCATCGGCTTCCCGCTTGTGCAGGGTGGGTCCTTGTCACCGCAGCAGGGACCAGGGATGGCCAGGGAGAGCCAACACTAGGGCCCCCCCCCACCTTCCTCTCCAGCTTGAGATGGCACCAATCGCCAGCAGCCAGGGCCCCGGCTGTCCCCTAGGTGCCATCCCTCTCCAGGACACATTCCCAATGCTGCAGGACCCACCTTGCCAATGACATCGTTGCGGCTCAGCCTGTCCTTGTCCATGACGGTGATGACGATGGTCGTCTCGCGCAGTCGCTCCGTGGGGATGTCAAAGGCGAAGGACTCGTTGAAGACGGGGTTCAGGCACCGCTTCATGACCACCGTCTTCTTCTTCTCCACCCGCTTGTCCTTGTACATCAGCCACACCTTCACGTAGGGATCTGGGAGGGGAGAGGAGCTGCTCTCAGCCCCGGTTGGGCATTGAGCAGCAATAGCTGGTGTGGCAGGAGCCAGAGCTCATACCTGATGTGCCCCCGATGTCCATGGCTTTGAGGTTACGCGCTTTGATGATGTTCACCACGATGGAGTTGGCGGATGGGTTGTAGCACAGCGACAGCAGCAGCTCACCACGGCTTCCCTATGGGACCCATGGAGGCCCTTAGGTGGGTGGACCAAAACCACTTGCTCCTCACCACAGCACCCAGCTCAAGATCTGATGGGGCACCCAAGGTCCCTGTGTCCCCACTGTGGGAGAGGGGTGCTGGGCTTGGACCCCCAACCACAGCTACCCCAAGGGTGGACTTTGGGGCTGCAGAGAAAATCAGGGCAGGAGTAAATGGGGCCATCCCCAGTGGGACATTTTCTGGACTTGCTGGAGGCAGGAGAAAAAGAAAACTTTCATTTTAGATCTACCTGAAACAGTTCTTTTTGTTCCAAAATGAGACACTTGCTTTGGACTACTTAGTGTCTTAATTAACAAATAAATATTTGGGAAGAGAAACTTCCTTGCTGGACATCAAACTTGCTTGAAAAGCAGAAAATGTCCCTGTTGGAGCAGTAAGAGGGTGGTGAGTCCTGCTGGGACTTCACAGGGACAGGGGTAGCCTCCCACCAAGAACTGTTTCCAGGGGGTAGGAGGGGGACCAGGGCCTTACGCTGCCATCGCTGCACGGCTTCAGGTCCTTCCAGAAGGTCTGCATCTGGGTGAGATCCACCTTGTTGAGGGGGATGGACACCTCCCCAATGGGGTCATTGCGGCTGAAGCGGTCATAGTCCAGGACCTGGAGGTACAGCACCCGCTGCACCACTTTCTCATAGGGGAACCCTGTGCCAGAGACAGAAGGAGGACATGAGGACAAGAGGAGATGTGGGGGTCATGCCGAACAGCAGCCAGTGCTGGTACTGGTCCTGCCCTGCCCTGCCCATGCTAATGGGGAGATGTTAGGACCAGGGAGTGGATAGGGAGCAGAGCATGGCATGAGTGGCTGGTGGCAGATTAATTCCCCTGTGTGCACCCATCCATGGGTGCCTGCTGGGGGGATACGGAGCTTCCCTCCATGTCCCCTTCATGGGATGTAGAGCAAACACCTTCAACCTGGTGTTGATGGCTTGGCCAACACATCTCATCACTGATGCCCATGATGTTGGCAGCTCAAGCTGAGCTGGTCCAGCCCAGGAGGGAGGACAGAGGGTCCCACAACTGGTCTGCTCCCACCCCAGTCCACTCCAGTCCATCCCAGCCATTACCTTCAAAGAGGAAGGTCTCATTCCAGTGCGGGTTGAGGTTCTTCCGCTTCACCTTGGTCTCCAGCTTGTGCTTCTTGTCAGGGAGCAGGTAGATCTTGACGAAGGGATCACTGGTGCCGCTGAAGTCCTTGGCGGGCAGCTCCTGTGCCTTCATGATCTTGACAGTCAGGGTGGACTCCTGGAAGTTGTAGCCGACGCTGAACTGGATGCGGCCCAGGTTCTCCCGGCTGACGCCTTCATGGCCCTCGTCGTCCTCAGAGCCTGGGGAGAGCTGTGGCGAGGGGAGAAGAGCAGTGAGTGCAGTGGCGGGGAGGCTGTTGGGGGACCACCAAGGAGGTCTGCACACTCCTGTCCCCCTCGTTTCAGCACCCAAACTCAGCTTACACCAGCACCCAACCCTCAGCCCCACAAGCTGTCGGAGGGCATCAGCCTCTCCTCAGCTCCCTGCCACTGCCATCGCCTCAGATGACTCCTGGCTCCATGCCACGCGTCCCAGGGAGAGAGAGTGCCAATTAGCCAAATTCCTCCTGACAGCCCGTCCCTCACATCTCCGGCACCGCTTCCTCATGCCGGCCCCGGGGGGGAATGGCTGCATCACTTCAGCTGAGCCCCGGCTGTGACAGGGACTTGGCAGAGCGGGCTGGGACGTGCCAGACTGCTTGTGGCACAGGGCGGGCGCGGGGAGGAGCTGGAGGGGGTGCAAGGAGACACCCGGATGGTGCCCAGGGTGGGATGCTCTCCCTGGCGAGCCCATCCCAGTGCACCCCATGCACCCACCATGAGCATCTCACTGGTCAGGGAGTTGACCAGGTCGGAGACTGAGGAGTGTGGCTCCGTCTTGCGGTCGGACTCATCATGTGGTGCCTGCCCAGGCGTTGGTGCTGTGCTCACCGCCTTGCTGCCGGCCGGCAACCTGGGGAAAGAGAGGCAGTGCCTCAGAGGAGAGGGGCTGGGAGCC